ATGAGATGATTGTTCCCACACCATGTCACAAAGCGGTCCACCAGCTCTCTGTACTCAGCTTCCTGTCCATCTCTGATACACCCAACAACTGCAGAGRKAMCDYAGTATTTCTGTAGATGACAGCAGTCTGACTTGTGCCAGAAGTCTGAAGTGTACAGCGTGAACAGGAATGGTMAGAGTACAGTTCCCTGTGGTGCTCCTGTGCTGCTGACCACCAGGTTAGACACACAGTCCTTCAGTCTCACAAACTGTGGTCTGTTTGTCAGATAGTCTTTGATCCAGGTGATTGTTGAAGCCTCCATCGGAGTCTTCTGGAGTTTCAGACAAAGCAACTCAGGCTGAATTGTGTTAAAATTCAATTCAAAACTTTATAAATCGAAACTGAATCTATTTAGAGAATTGGCCATGATACCCAGCCCTAGTATTTAGTAACAAACCTTTGCGCTGAACTGGTTGATCTCTCCGTTCTCGTGCCCGGCGATGACAAACTCTCCCAGGGGTCCCCACACAGCACTGGTTATCTTGTGGTCACTGCAGGGTATGGACAGGTAGGGCTGGTTGTCCTCTGCAGACACACCAACAGAATAACACAAAGTACAATAAATAAACAAAAACGTAAAAAGATTATAAATAAATTCTAATAATACGATATAAAGTTGCTTTTGAAAAACAAAACCATGCAAAGCTGCTTCATGCAGCCTTTGATGCACAAAAACACAAAAAAATCTGTCTAAAATAAGTAAAAATTGAGCATAAAAAAGTACAAATAAATTTCATTAAACATAAAATAATTAATAAAAATTGGGCAATTTTTTTTCTAAACAGCAGAGTTCAAACCATGTTTTGACTTTTCTAAAACTAGAATTTAGCTGATTTACAGTCTTTTGTTTTACCATATCAGAGTAACTAAACAATCAGTTTTAAAATATATATATTTCAGGACCAAACACTGCTGTGTGTGTGTGTGTGTGTGTGTGTGNGTGTGTGTGTGTGTGTGTGTGTGTGTGTGTGTACATGCGTACCTATCTGCTGTGGATCCCTCAGGTCGAAGTAGTTCAGGAAGCACTGGTAACCCATCTGCTTGTCTGTGGAGAACATGATGATGTTGCCGCTGAAGTCGAAGCCACACGTCCTGACAGCTGAGTTGGTGTTGAGCAGAGCCAGCTGTTTACCTGCAGAGATGCACTGAAGGCTTGAGCAGACCGGTCTGCAAATGTAACGTGCTGCTAGTTTTATCTCAGGCAGATATTTTCAGCCCTACGATGGACTGGTGATGTGTCCGGGGTGCACCCCGCCTCTCACACAGAAAAGCAAGTAAAGACAATGAATGGATGGTTATTTTCAAGCATAAACAGCAGCAGGATTTAACACTTCAGGAATCACATCTGGCAGAAATTTAAATCTTTGCTAAAATAACTATGTAATATGAACTGCTATTAAGTTTTAAAGACTGGAATTTTTTAAAAATAGAAAAATCTAAACAGGAAGTGCTCATCAATACACATCTCACTGCTATATTTAAACTTCTAAACACATGCAGAATTCTATATAAATAACTTTGTCATGCAAAACTCAGGTGATATCAAATTGACATAAAATTACTTCTGCATGAACTGCTGAGACAATTACAGCTATGGTCATTGTCCCTCTAGAACAGGTAAGATGTTTATTACTTTAGAATAATTTTTTTTCACTTTTACATAAAAGCTCACTTCAACATGGGTGAACTCCTTTAAAATAAACCTGACATGATGTAAGCGTTACAAAGTACAGTTTTGTGGGGGAAAGTTTGGTTTACACCCAGTGTGGTTTTTCTTACCGGTCTCACAGTCCCACAGTCGACAGCTGTTGTCTGCCGATCCTGTTAAGACGTTCTTGGTGTCCCCTGAGACAGAGCAAGTTAAGAAACCAACCTGGTCCGAACATTTCCACAAAGTCAGATCAACAGTTTCACAGGATCAAACACAGCCTGAGTGGCCCGGTGGTCTCCTGATGGAAGGATACAGTCGCAGTCGACGCACCACACAGCTCCTGTGTGTCCATTGTAGGTGCCGAGCCTCTCTCCGTTCACAGAGTACCACACGTTGGCGATCTGTGGGAGAACAGGGAGCAGTTAGAAGGTGGAAACATCCAAACAAGTAGGTAAGAGATTATCCCCACGTCACACCCAATGTATGTTTGCTACCTACAGTTATGTTTCTTATTGAATGGGTTGGGTTCAGTTTCTTCATGCAATTCACGAGTTATGAAAATTTAGCTCAACAAGCAAGCAGCACGTTCAGACTGAAAGCACTCAATCAAAAATAGGTAGTCGTAAAATAGAATTTTTTTATTCAAGTATTGACTTATTTTCATGACAATCTGATGGTGACAACAGTTTTTGAGAGCCTGAACAAGGCCGGGCTCAACTGATGCACTGTTATGGCAAATGCAAAACAGTTTATTTTTGGGTCCAGATTAGTCGAACAGTAGGGATGCTGACATATTATCATCAGCGGTTGGCGTTTTCTCCGCAGACTGCACAACGCTGCACTGAGGGTGAGCTCGTTTATTTATTACTCCTGCTTCGTTATTTCAAAGAAATTATGAGAAAACCCTGCTGATGTCAATATCAACACAGATATACCACCTAATTTTATTTCCTGTGACCCCTTTAATAGATAAGCTTACATGAAGAACATTATTTTACCTGCCGTTGTTCGAAATTTCATTATGATCTGAAACATCTACAGAATTGCCAGTGGTGAAAATGAATTAGCGTTGAGTTGACACACGTCGTCATCACTTGACACAATTTGCATGCTGTCATTGGTTGAGGGGTTTTGTTTACAAAACAAATGTCAATATGGTTCTAATAGTATACATTTCATGGATTTCCAAGATGCATGAAGTTGGTTTGGAGTTGGTGAGATGAGGCATTTACATTATTTTATCCCTTTTCTGCTACTTTTACATTGGATTTCGTAAAGTATTTAGGATAGAAGATGCTTCCAATAAATAAATAAATAAATGAATGAATGAATGAATGAATGAATGAATGAATGAATGAATGAATGAATGAATGAAAAAGCAATGAATCATATCTGCAAATTTCATGGTGACATCTTTAACATTCAGGAAGTTATGAGCAAAAAAGGAAACCAAAAATAAGGTGAAATGTTCACAAAGGTCCTAATGGTCCAGTGATGAATTACCGCAGAAATCATGAGCAAAAACATCCATAACGTCCTTTGTACTTGATATAATCACATGATTTTGGTGTTATTTTAAATAATTTTAATGATCTTTTTCTTGTTCTTTGCCAGATTTCATACTGGTGTCGGCTACAAAATGTATCCACATCCTAACTATTCTCTATTTTTATGGCATGATATTTCTAAACATACAGTTTATGGGCTGATTTTTTTAAACAATTATCAAATGTTATAGATAGAGGTAGTCAATGTAAAGGACATGTCAATTCTAATTTGTCATGAAAATGTCAAAATATTATCTCGAGAAATAAGGAAGTGATTAAATTAGGCTAAAATCGCCACAATGAATTTCACAAAAATTAATAAATACAATCTTGATGTCAGTCTCGATTTTTTTAAAGAACACTTTATGGATGTTTTCGACTTCTACCCAAACAATGCTTCATGTTGAACAGAAAGCAATAACTTAAAGCAATAACTTACTGTGTCTTTTGCTACAGAGAACAGCAGGTCTCCTTCTCTGTTGTACTTTATCTGAGTGATGGACCTCTCGTGGCCCTGAAGCAAGATGGGTTTCTGGGAACAAAAACAAGTTTTACATTTCAGACTGTTTTTATTTTAAGTGAAGCAAATATTACATACGACTGATTCAACTAGACACAAACCACCAAGTCACATTAATCAGTAAAATATATATTTTTAACCTAAATACGTCCAGCCTCAACATTTCAGTTCTGTTCATTTATAAGCTAAGCTAACGTTAGCTAAAGCGCAAGCACTAAAGCGAACACATGCAATTTAATTTGAAAAGGAGTTTTAAAAACATGACAGATATAAAACGATTCCTAAAAAGTACACCTACCATGTTGTTGGCCGCTACGTGTTGCCAGATAATCCAATATATTTACTTCGTTTCACATAAAAATAGAAAAGAAGACCACTCGTGTGTGTCCGGCGGCGGAAAAGGAAAGTGACGTTCCTTATGTCAAACGAAAAAAAAAAAAAAAAAAAAAAAAGGTCGGCGCGCCCCCTGCTGGTGACGCCGATCATAACAGCTCTGTAAAGGAGCAGAACACATAAATCACTCCAGGTTTGACATTTAATTAGCATACAATAACTCTGTCAAAGTATATAGATATTAAAGTTGAACACTTCTAATATTAGTAAATATGTAAAATAGTGCACTGCAGCTACTGCCTAAAAATCCCAGCATAAATCATTTACAGGAAAGGTGATGCAACGAAGTAGTAAATATGATGCTGGATCAGCATTTTTGGAAAGTGTTGCATGCATCAAAATCAAAATGTGAGAATATTTGCAAAATAACAATAAAGTTTATCCGTTTGAACCTCAAATATCTTTGTAGTGTATTTAATTGGATATAGATTGAAAAGAATTTGCAAATCATCGTATTGTTTTTGCTTTACACAACTTTCCAACTTGTACATAAACCTACAAGCTTAAACAGCCAACAGATCAAACATAAACTGTTAGTTTATTTAGCAAGAGACAAAATATACAAGGCCAGAAAACAGTACTGCAAAAGAAAAAAAAGTGGGAAACATCTTTGGTTCCTTCTTATGGATCTTAAAACTTGGGTACAACAGAAGAAATTCAAAAAGCCACTTCACTGATGCTACATGTTGAATTAGTACACAAGAAAATAAACAAAGTTCTTTTTTTTGCTTGTTTTCCAACTCCACTCAGCAGCACCACACAAAATATTCAATTTACCAAACAAGAAAATGGTCCAAGTTTTAGCCTCCGCAGAGAAAAAGACCCTCTGCTACGAGATATGTTTAAATTTTCCTTGACATTTATGCAGAACAGTGATGATGATACATTCAGCTAAGTACTCGTCAGACGAGACTGCAACAAAATAAAACCACACACACATTATCTGTGGGCTTTTGGTATAAATCTATGTTTCAGATTAAACTCCTGTAAAGAGGTTTAAATCAAGCATTACAAGCATTGCATAGAGTTACTTCTACATTCTCTTAAGAAAACCTGACGAGTTTACCAAAACAAGGAAACAAATGTGAACGAATAAACCACAAATTCTACAAGCACAACCAAAAAACGATGAATGGAACAGAGTGGTCCTTATTACAAATTCTAAACATAAAAAAAAAACAACTGGTCATCTGAACTGGGAGTGATGAGTTGTGACAGGAGTAAACTCACTTTAACAAAATGCTTTTATTTCTCCAATATCAACAATATGAATAAAGGTGTTTAAAATAAAGAGATGTTACAGAAATTAGCTTTGATCCAAACAAAGAGGCGAAACAGCAGCAGACACAGAATGAAGACTGCCTCGATAATTACAGTTTTAATCACATATAACACGTTAAGGCTAAAGAAAATGGAATTACTGTTACGAGTTAACCTGAAACATGATAAAAGCAGAGTTTAGAGAGTAGAACCCTGTCCAACACTGCAAATGAGACCAAATTATTAAAGATGATAAAAAAATTCTTGCTATAAACCAATTGAACTTGTGTCATTCCCTGCAGCTCAGTAAAGCCTGATGCAACAAGACAGTGTACTTTATAATAAACAGGAAAATAAGTGACAGAAATCTAATTTATTGAAGGAAAAAAATGTTATAAACTCAGTTTTCCTGTTGATTCGAAGCATAAAGTAAAAGCCGTGTTTCTACAGAATCTGCTGGGAGGACACGAGTTAACCCTTCTGTTGATCAGAACATAAAGTGATGGGTTTGATCAGTGCTCATCAGGAGCAGAGGAGTAGCGGTTTGCAGGCTGGTGGTTCGGACTCAGGAGGAGAAGTGGGTGTGTTCATTCTGGCACAGGAAGTGGCTGAGAGTGGGCCTCCCCCTGCCGTGTGTCTGTCTGTGGCTCGCAGTGGCACGGGTCTGAGCAGGAGGTGCTGTCCGGCGCGGGGCAGGTGCCGGGCTCCAGCACTGAGTCTGTAGGAGGCGGAGACGGCGAGTCGGTCCCCGGGTCGGAGGTGGGGGTCGTGCCGCCGGGTTGCCCGCCGAGCTCCTGGACCTTCTTCTTCAGCACGTTCCGATCCACCCTCAGCGCCCGCCGCAGTTTCTCCAGCCGCTGCACTTTACCCTGCAGCGCCTCGAAGTCCCGATCCCGCACGGCTTTCTGTGGAAAAACCAGAGGTGAAACGATCACAACGCAAGCGAAACACTGAATTAGACATTTAAATATGCTGAATTACCTCCTCAGCCATCTCCAGCAGAGCTTTGTTGCTGCTCTCCCACCTCAAGCGATACATGGCCGTCTCCTTCTCCAGCTTCTTGATCTTTTTAGTCATCTGTGAGGAAACGAGGCTCGTGTTTGAGCAGGTAAAATCAACAGAATTACGGATGCTCTCACACAGAGACTCTTAGACAGTTCAGGTTGATAATTAAATTTTATATGGAATGACTAGTGTCACACCTCTGTGCTATACTCACTTTGACTGTGTCCTGTTTGTATTCATAAATGCTAGTTTAAAGAGTTCGTATGTTTCACGAGATTCTTAACATATATGGACCGCAAGCGCCACCTTGAGGGCCTCAAAAGAACAACAGTTTTTAACTTTGGGCCACAAAGGGCCGCGGGATTGATTTTGAATAAGGTGCAATACACTTTCTCATCACTAGTAGCAGTAGTGCGCCACTCAGTTGTTTAAAAACTTTTTTAATTTGTACAAGAAGAACCTTAGAAACCTGCCGAGAATGGAAACGTATTTGAAGTGAAAAGTAGAAGCATAAAATGAAGGTAACCCATCAAAAAGGACAAAGTTTGTCACTAAAATGAAGTGCAGCCTCTGGTTCTACCATGCAATATTTTAAAAGTTCAAAATTTTATCAAATACA